TGTTGTGGCCTCTCCCGTTGTGGAGCACAGGCTCCGGATGCGCAGGCTCAGCGGCCACGGCTCACGGGCCCAGCCGCTCCACAGCATGTGGGATCTTCCCGGACCGGGGCACGAACCCACGTCCCCTGCATCAGCAGGCGGACTCTCAACCACTGCGCCACCAGGGAAGCCCTCTACTGTTTTTTAAAAAGCATATATCACTTTTGTAATACGAAAAAAGTCATTTTCATTTTGAAAAATATCTATATTCTTTATTAAGCCTCTTTACATCCAATGACCCAGATTTTTACACCAGCCCAGGAAGTTGACAGGTCTGGAAGTACCACGACCATTTCACTGATGAAGGCACTGGGCCTCAGAAACCCAACCCTGAACACCTGACTGTGAGCTGGTGTTCTCCCATCCACGCAGCCACCCCAAGATCAGAGAACTGTAGCGAGTCAGTCACCAGCTTTGGTTTTTAAAAAAACAAAAACAAAAACTGTTATTTGAGGAGTCCCACTATCCCCAGTTACTTACTCTCAGACAGTAAGAGCAACAAGAGAACCCCTCCAAACACAAAGCATTCAGAATAATTCATGCTGTACCACCTCCCCCTGGTGGTAGGCTCTGGAAACTGAAATTGTTTTGATGATAAGGAGCTACTGCAATTCGAAAACAGTAACTGTTTCCCACCAATATCACCTCTACTTCTTTATTTTTTTTAAATATCTATTTATTTGGCTGTGTCAGGTCTTAGTTGCGGCACACGAGATCTTTCGTTGCAGCACGCAGGCTTCTCTCTAGTTGTGGCACGCAGGCTTAGCTGCCCCTCGGCATGTGGGATCTTAGTTCCCTGACCAGGGTTCAAACCTGTGTTCCCTGCATTGGAAGGTGGATTCTTAAGCACTGGACCACCAGGAAAGTGCCACCCCTTACTTCTTTAAATCATCAAAGCCACTTTTTTTCATCAAGGAGTTGGATACTGACACAAATACACGAAACCAGGACCTGGTGTCAACGAGGCTCAGAGCTTTGGACGATGCTGGGGGCAGCGGCACTCTCTACCCCTGTCCTTTCCTTCCTTACCACTTCTGTGGCTGTTGCTTCTGCCCCCAGTGTTCTTCTGCACGGCCTTTCCTGCATCCTCTCTGTCTCTGTCCACTCCCCTGAGACTTAGGAAAGGGCAAGGTGTGACCATGTGCCCTCACCCAGGACCTGGCATGAAGAAGACCCAACATCCAGCACAATCCTCAGGCTCTAGGCACTGACATTTCCAATAAGTCCAGTTGCAATGCTGACATTTCTTTAGAAATATCAGAGCGCAGTAAGGTCGGTCTTCAACTGCGTCCCCCTAGTCTCCCGATAAACACACGGCTTCTTCACTCTTCCAGGAAGAAGGACACATTCAACAGGATATCTGGAACAGGAAGAGAGAGAACACGGCAAACCACCTCTCCAGAAAACACAAAACATCAGCTTTGTAAAAGCTACAAAGGCACCATGAGGGCATCTCTACATGCTTTCAAAGAGCTGAGACACAGAAAGAAAGGAGGGGAGGAGACACGAAGGACTAAATGAAAACCAGTACCTCGTACAAGGTCTGGGTGTTCGTCTTCCGATATTCGGTCCCAGGCTTTGGGCAAAGCTTGGATGTTTCCCAAGTCTCCCCACTGGATTGAGGACAGAAGGTACTTCCTCTTCAGGTACCTTCCTGGGAGTTAAGGAAGGTGCTCAAAAAGAAAATGAAATATGCTGAAGGAAGAAAATACCCTGGAAAGAGCTCCTGGGAGCTAGAAAAGTGAAAGCGCAGCTACTGCTACATTTACCAGGTGGGCAGGACTCGCCTCTGCTACACATCTTTACCGAGCCCTTCTTTACACACATGGCTCTGGGCTACAGGGAAAAGGACAGAAACACTCTCCCTGCAATCTGGGATCTCACCATGGTGAGAAAAAAACAGAAACTGAAAAGACTTTAAATTACAGGAAAGATAAAACTCAGTGGAAGTTCAGAGGATGACTTCATCGCCTTTAGAGGACAGGAGGAGGATTCCAGCTGGTAGGAAGAGCTTAAGCCAAGGCACAGAAGTGGGGAAGCACATAGTGGATTCAGGGACAGGACATTTCCAGTGCGGCTGGCATGGAACGATGTGCAGAGTAGCAGGAAAGGTGGCTGAGAGGGCAGGTGGAGCCAGAACACAAAGACCAGCACGGGGGTTCTCATCCTCAGAGCACCAGAAGCTACTGAAAACTCCTACACAAGCAACAGGATCAGAACGAGGCTTCCGGAAGATAGATCTGCGGAGTGAGGCCACTACCTGGGGGTGGCTTAGAGGGAAAGAAGCCAGGGTCAGAGAAACCTGTCTAGAGACTGCATGTGACTAAGGATCCAAGTGAGAAACAATGGTAGAGGCAGTGGGGATAGAGAAGGAAACTACAAGAAGCACCAAGGAAACAGAATGGAAGGACTTAACAGCTGAGTGCAAACATTCTTACAACAGCAACTGGCACACCATAAGCGCTCAGTAAGGGTGGCCCCAGCTACTACTCCCACTGCCCACGCTGCTGTTGCCACCACTGTGGCCGATGCTGCTACGCTGCAAGCAGAAAACAGCAGGAAGGGGGGAAAATGCTGCTTAAGTTTCCAGACTAAGTGATCAGACAGGTTTGATGCTACAACTTAAGCAAACAGGAGCTGAACAGGAGGGCTGGACGGAGGATTTCAATTCTCCATTTCAGCTTGCAGTTCCGCAAGATTCCAGTGGGAGGCATCCGCAGGAAACTGAAAATCAAAACTAGAGGCAAGAATAAAGGTTGGCTTGGGAGTGATTCAAATGAAGGTAGAAACTCCAGCCAGAGGGTAGATGCGACTAACAGGCAAGAATTGAGAGGAAAAAGGTGAGAGAACTCCAACTAACAGGTCTTTCTGCTTCCACCCAAGTCCTTCCTCAGAACATAGCCAGGTGATACTGTTGAAAACATAGGTCTGATCAGGTTACTCCTCTACTCAAAACCTTCTATAGCTTTCCATCTCACTCAGAGTAAAAGCCAAAATCCTTTCAAAGACCTTGGAGGCCCCACCAGGCCTAGCCCTGCCTCTCTGACCACATCTCCTGTTAGACCACCCCCCCTTTCACTCGGCTCGAGCCCCACTGGCCGCCTTGCTACTTCCTGAACATACGAGGCTCGCTGTCACCTCAGGGCCTTTACACTTGCTGTTTCTTCTACCTGGAACACTCTTCCCCCAAATACCCCCATGGTTCTCTCCCTCACCTTCTTCAGGTCTTCTCTCAAATACCACTTTCTCAGTGAGGCCTGCCCAGACCACCCTATTTAAAACCACAAGCCCACGCTCACCCCTCGCTTTCCTCATTCCCTGCTCTATTTTTCTCCAAGGCACTTATCACCATCTGACATTCTATATAATTTCCTTTTTTTAATGCTTATCTTCTAGCACCTAGAGCAACGCCTGGCAGGGAGCAGTTACTCAATAAGTGATTTAAGGAATGACTGTACAAAGGAATTCAGAAAGAATCCAAGTTCAAGAACCAAAGAGAACTGACCCATACTATATATTTTTGGGCAATCTTGTGAAAACTGAAATTAAAAAAACTTCCTGGAACAGCTCTGGAACTACCTGAAATGTGTGCAAAGGATACAAACTTCGATAATGTCTCTCGATATCCTGTAACCACTCCAACATTTCAGCCACAGAGGGGCTTGCAGCTGAAGCCTGCAGGACAGCATCGAGGCTGATCATGTCTGCATGCTGCTCATAGATCTGAAGCACGTGTTCCACGTGGCTACTGACTACATCACGCACCTTGAGGAGGGCGGCTCTGGGGGAAGAGTGTGATATTAGGCAATATCATGAGAAAGGCCTAAGGCCAGGTTCCTTAACCTTAGCACTAAGGACATCTTGGACCAGGTGATTCTTTGTGGTGGAGGGCTGCCCTGTGCACTGCAGGATGTTCAGAAGCATCCCTGACCTCTACCTACTAGACGACAAGAACAAACCATGCCTCCACCATTCCCAAGTTGTGACAATCAATAACGTCTCCAGATATTTACTGCCACACATCCCAGTGGGAAAAACTGCCTCCAAATGAGATCCATTCGTCTATGGAGATTGTTGATGGTGCCTTGGAGGCAGGGGTGGCTCGAGAATTAAGAACTGACTTAAAGATGGAGAGGCTGAAGTTACATGGCTCTCAAAGCTGTGTGATGATATTATTCCCAGCTGCCAAAGAAAGTAAAGACCAAGAGGCCCTTCTGGGGCTGCCATACAGGAGAGCAAATGCTCACACACAGTCCAATGCAATGTACGTGAAAGGAATAAGCAAGAGGAAACTGAAGCAACAAACCAGTAGTGTTCTCATGCTACCTCATGCCCCATCCTAGTGAATTCTTGAACAGGTAAGATTTGGGCTCTTGACACACCCAGACTACTGTGGATCTTAGGAAAGTTACTTATTCTCAAACACGAATAAAAACAGTCTCTTTTGTTCACTGTGCATCCTAAGTACCTAAAACATCGAGACCGGCAGACAGAACAACAAACAATTGTCCAATGAATGAAAAGGATTGTTGTGAAGAGTAAATGCAACAATGCATATTAAGTGCTTCGCAAAGTGCCTAGCTTATGGTAAATTTTGTTATTATTCCATTGGTGACTCCAAGGGGCCCAGCCACCAAGACGAAGGCTACAACTTCCCAAAGGGCAAGGCAGTCCCTAGCCTAGAATTGCAGCTTTCAAAAATGTTTGACTGTGACTCACAATTAAAAAATAGACTTAAAAGTAACAGCCCGATACTCACACACAAACACGTAATCAATTGAAATAAAAGTTCACAATCTTAGAACATACCGTGACCTAATTTAATCGATTGTCTTGTCTCTCTCTTTTACTCAGCTTAGGAACTAAGTCTGCTTCATTGTTGTATTCCTAGCACCTGTGCTTGGCATCCCATAGGCGCTTAACAAATGTTTTTTGTACAAATGAATACAAAGAAGGCCCCATCTTTGACAGTTTCCTATTAGTCTATGGCACAGACTCTACACACTAGAACCTTTTGTCCTGGTCAAGGAAAGGCTATACGTGCCCTGTCTCTTCTCTATCCTCAATTACCTGTAACTCTAAGGTAGAGGGTCTAACATCAGGCATAGTAAGAGCTTAGAGACGTGCTACTCCTGGCATGCAGACACCAATGAACAGCAGAACAAGTGGCCCTGGTGTCAGGCATACTTGGGTTAGAATCCCAGTTTTACTATTTACTAACTGCACAACCACAGGCAATCTGCTTGAGCCTCAGTTTCCTCACCTGAAAAATTAATTAAGTGAGGTTAAGTCAAAGAGGTGTTGAAAAGATTTTATGGGATAATGTATGTAAAACCCTTAGCTCTGGCACCTAATAAGTTTACAGTATAGCTCCTCACTGCTTTTTACCTAAGAAAGACTATACAGGAGGGCCAATAAGCTTTCCCCATTGCTCTTTTGTTCTGCTTTGATAACTTTCACTAAGTCCACCACTGTCATGCCTAGTCTGACAAGGGAAGCGCCAGAAAATGGCTTCTTGACAGAGATCCCATTGCAACAAACGGAAAGGAGGTAAGTTTGACATATCCCTAAATACCACGCTCTCAAGTAAGAAAAAAAACACCCTTCCGACTGATTCTAGCTTATTAAACACCCAGTTTTAAAATCTTTCCGCCAAGAACGAGCGCCACTGAGCCTCTTACAGCCTCTCCCCTAGCCTGTCCAGGAGAGTATCACCAGCCGCCAGCTGCTTGCGCCTCAGCCTCTCCTGTAAGTCTGGGAAGGCCCGAAGTGACGGCACATCCTCAAATCGCAGGTTCTGTGCGGCCTGCAGCTGCTCTGCCAGGTTGCTGAGGGAGGCCAGGAGGGGCGGGCAGTCCCTGAGAGCGCTCTGCCACAGGCCCTGCTGCTCCTCCACCACGAGAAAGCACTTCCTCAGGGCCTCCTGCACCGCGAGCAAAGGCTGGTCTTGAGTCATCTTCCGTTGGGGGAAGGAAAAAAAAACACACAAAAAAAGCATTAGGATTCCAAGTCGATAGGGGAAGGACCAGGTCATGGGTGGGAGTTATTTCCGTTCTCAGGTGAGAACAGCGTTTCCTCAGGTAGGGCCGTCTACCCCTCCCGACAGGAGTTTCTAACGCGAGGCGTTGTCTTACCTTTAGAGGGGCTCTCGGAAGGCAGGACCCTTGTTTCCCACCTCGGGAAGCGTTTCCTGACTGTCCCTCGGAGGAGACTCGTCCGGGTTCGGGCAGTTTCCTGTTTTAGACTGCGGGTTCCCCAGGCCTATCCGTGCGTCCGGAGCCAGAAGCTTGTCTCCTCTCCTTGAGGCTGCGGGTCGCTTTCCCTAAACAAGCGGGAAAACTTAAAGCTAAAGCAATCAAAGTTTAAGGACCTTCCAAGGGCCCCAACCTGCCTCCGAGTCTCTCTACGCATGCCCCAACATGGCTACAGAGTCGCGAAAATATGCCGTCAATGCCTTCTGGGTACTGTAGTCCTACATGTGGACTGGCTGTCCGATCGCAGAGCTTCCCTGTGATTGGTTATTGTGGGACCCTCCTAAGACGGCGGCTTCTCACTGGTCAGCCTGTGGCAGTTTGAATTTGGTGGCGGCGGTCGCACGTCCGGTTAGCCCCGGAGCCGCTCCCTCTCAGCTGAAGCAGCCAGGTTTTTCTCAGCTCCTGTTTCGGGACCCACAGGTGGGTGCGTCGCAAATCTTTTATGCCCGGGCCCCGAAGGGCAGGGGTCCCCCTCCAAAGCCCCTGGGGTGCCCTTCGCCCTCTCCCTCACCCTTGCGGCCCCTTGTCCCTCCCCGTCTCCGCCGCTGACGCCTTGTGGCTCGGCCCCCTCTCCCCGCAGCCTCCATCGAAGCGCCATGGCTCCGGCTAGGAAGGGCGGCAGTCGGGTGGCCAAGACCAACTCGGTCCGGAGTCGAAAGCTCGCCTCTTTTCTTAAGGACTTCGACCGTGAAGGTAAGGGGCGGAGCCCGGGTGGTCGCTAGCACCTGGAGCAGTCGCGGGGTGCTGGCGGATTGGGGCGCTGGCAGCACGGATTCCAGGCCGCATTCGCCCGCCGGGTGACCCGTGTCCCGTCCGCTCTGACCTCTCGCAGTGCAAATACGATCCAAGCAGATTCAGTCAGACAGGCAGAACCTCCTCAAGGAGATGGATAACTTGTACAACATCGAGATCCTACGACTCCCCAAGGCGCTGCGCGAGATGAACTGGCTCGACTACTTCGGTAAGAGCTGCTAGTCTCTCCCCAGGCCTCGGCCTGGAGCCCTTCTGTGGTTACCATGGCAGCCTTCGTCTTCTTAGTGAGTTCTTCCAAGATCACTGTAGGAAACTGCAGCCCTACTCCTTCCCCCCACTCCCTGTCTCACCTCCCGGCTTTATTTTCTCCTTAGCTCTTACCCTCATCTACCTCTGCAGGGAGGCAAACGTTTTCTCTAAAGGACCAGATAATAAATAGTTTAGGCTTTGTAGGCCAGAGGGTTCTCTGTCGAAACTACTCAACTTTGCTGTTTTAGTTCCAAAACAGCTGTAGTGAATGGGCATACCTGTTTTACAATAAAAACTTCCTTATGGACACACTGAAATGTGAATTTGACATAGATTTCACCTGTCATGAAATACTCTTTTTTTGGGGGGGCCGGGGGGATATTTTGTCCAACCATTTGAAAATGAATGAGTGAATAGCTTGGTTTATTACCAGACTTCAGTTGGAAGGATAATCTCAAGCAGCTCTTCCTGCAGCTTAGGGAAAATGCCAATTTAAAAATGGGCATATCAAATTGTGAAGTGCCAGGATTCAACAGTTTTCCTGGCCAGAGAAAAATCCCAGCCTGTTCCCCACCCCCTTGTTAAATGTCCAAGGAAATGCAAAAGGCTGTCCTTTTGTTGGGTTACCCTTACTTTTACTATTTTCCTTATTGTTAATTACCCAGTATGTAGCCTCCTTCCTGGATAGAAATGCAGGTTCTGTTCACATAGTAGACGTTCAGTGATGCTTTTGACTTCCCCTTTTATTTATTAACCTATTTGTGCATTTCTGCAAATATTCATTGAGTATGTGTTAGGCACAATGCTAGGTGCTGAAGATGCATTGGGAAATAAAACAGGCGTTGTCCTTGCCTCCAGGAACTTACAAGTTAGTAGAGAAGGATCATATTTAAAATTTGGACATGATTATATATTTAAAATTATGAGTACTACAAAAGAGAATAGAGTAGTGGTCAATGAGCACATTTATATAGTGCTTTCTATGGCAGACAGGCACTGTACCAAGTGTTTTCCATATATTAACTAATTTCATCCTCATCACAACTATATTAATTGTTAATATTATCCCTGTTTTATAAACAAGATTATAGCACAGAGATTGTTTACTTTGCTCAAAGTCTCATAAGCTAGTTAGTGACAGAGTCTACTTGAACCTAGGCATTCTGGTTCCAAAGCCTGAGTTCTTAACTATTATAGGGGATACTACCAGTTTTTCCAGCCGGAGGACCTCACCTAAGTTTTTATTCTACATCTAAATCTGCAAAGACCTCTTCATTCAATGCACATTTACTCCATACCTACTGTGTGACTTTTTTTTTTTTTTTTTTTTTTTTTTTTGCGGTCCGCGGGCTTCTCACTGTTGTGGCCTCTCCCGTTGCGGAGCACAGGCTCTGGACGCGCAGACTCAGCAGCCATGGCTCACGGGCCCAGCCGCTCCGCAGCATGTGGGATCTTCCCGGACCGGGGCACGAACCCGTGTCCCCTGCATCGGCAGGCGGACTCTCAACCACTGCGCCACCAGGGAAGCCCTGTGTGACATATTTTTGCCAGAAGCTATGGGTATTATCTCTGTCCTCAAAGAGTTCAATTCAAGGCAGGGCACTTTTACAGCTTTGAGTAGTTGTTGGATATGACGATAGTGAGCAACTAACTCAGCACATTGCAGCGATCTGCTGAGAGAGAAAAATAAGCAGAGTTTGGGTTTGAGCTGAGTTTTGAAGTATGAATTAGAAATTTTTTGGGTGCAGAGGATTATTTCGGGCAGAGGAAATAAGTACCAGGGCACTGAGTCATGAGAGACAGTGGCACATTTGGGAAATAACGGGCACTTTGGTGTGGTGGAACCTAGCATAAGCCATGAGGGGAACAGTCAAGCCTGGAGAGAGATTAAACTAGGTTGTGAAGGCTCCTGAGTGTTGTATCAAGGGCTTAATCTGGTCCAGTGTAAGAAAAGTAAGTGGTCATATTAGGGAGGATGGTTTATTATTTAAATTATTAAAATCTGATAGTAACTAAACAAAACGTTCTTTTCAAAGCCCTTGGAGGAAACAAGCGGGCACTGGAGGAAGCAGCAACAGTAAGTGACTTCTATTTTTGAACTGTTGGTTAGTTTTAAGTTTAGTCTGTTCACAAAATTCAACCAGTGGGTACTGACTGTGGAAGAGGTTCCAGAGGGGACATTATCTGTGTCAACAAAAAAATTATAGTTGTCAAATGCTGAGTACATGAAGCCCAGATAATTTCAAGGTTTATAAAGAGAGGTAGTTCTTTTTTTGGCAGGTTCCTTGCAGCTCTTTGCCCGGACCTTTGCAGGGGAAGTGGAAAGCCTAAAGTCCGAGTTCCTTTAAGCCCCTGCATCATTACACGATGACCTGGCCTGCTAGATGAGGCAGAATAAAGAGTTTAGATCTGCACTGTCTGTTACAGTAGCCACCAACTATGTGTAGCTCTTTAAATTAATTAAAATTAATAAAATATTCAGTTCCTCAGACACACCAGCCACATTTCAAATGCTCAGTAGCCACTTTCCATTCCATCATCCGTTTTAGACAGCACTCGTCTGTCTAGCACAGCACTTTCTAAGCTAAGCCCTGAGAGCTTCAGAATCCTCGTCTGAGTACTCCATGTAGTCTCTGCCAGCCCAGAGATGAAACCTGTGTCATCCTAGTCTGTAACGACTATTCTGATATTTACACATGCCCTGCAAGAAAAAGCCTGTGAATCATGCCTGCTTTTGCCTATTCCCATACATATAGTTACCACTGGGAACAAATTTAATTAGAATGGCAACTGGAAGCCTTTTTTTTTTTTTTTTTGCGGTACGCAGGCCTCTCACTGCTGTGACCTCTCCCATTGTGGAGCACAGGCTCTGGACGTGCAGGCTGAGGGGCCATGGCTCACGGGCCCAGCCGCTCCGCAGCACATGGGATCTTCTTGGACCGGGGCACGAACCCGTGTCCCCTGCATCGGCAGGCGGACTCTCAACCACTGCGCCACCAGGGAAGCCCTGGAAGCCTTTTTGAAGGCCCCAGGGGCATAGTAGAAAAACTTCTGGCCCTCTAGACTTTAAAAAATAAAAAAAAATGTTTTAAGGTAACTATGTGAGGTGCTGAATGTGTTAATTAACTTGATTGTGGTAATCATTTCACAATGTGTATGTATCACAAATCCTCATGTTGTACACTTTAAATATATTAGAATTTTATTTGTCAATTATACTTCAATAAAGCTGGAGGGAAAAAATGAGAAGGCTGACATAGCGTCAAGTGTGGTAGAGAATATGGGTCATTAGGAACCTGTTTGCTCTTGGCATGTAAACAAGTACAATCACTTTGGAAAGCAATTTTGCATAATATTAAGGCTGAACACTTGTGTACCCTACAACACTGTAATGCCTCATCCCTAAGTATATAGCCAAGAGAAAACTTGGACAGGTGTGCATCAGACACATGTATAAGACAGTTCAAAGTAACAGTGTTTTTAATAGCAAAATACTGTTGAGAGGAGATTGGACAAATCCATCGTGATATTATATAGCAGTGAAAACAAATTAACTACAACCACAAATAGTGATCAAAAACAAAAGCAAACAAAATATTGTTTAAGCACATACACATTTGTGGAGAAGCACACACACACACACACACACACACACACACACTTTCTTTCAAGCAAATGGAATGATGATAGTGGTTATCTC